ACATGGATGGGAAATGTTATACCTTTAGTCTCATTACTCCCATTGAAATATAGCATTGTTTCAGTTATAAATGTACAGAATAAATTGCAATAATATTAGTAGTAAGTAGACGCTTGTCACAGTAGAAATGACAGATACATTCGGATCACATTTTTGCCATTACAGATACTTCGAAAGTGCTGTGATACTCAACACTACTTGAAATTATTGTTTTTTAGATATGTCTTTCAGATCTTATTTTATACATTAATAGATTATTATATATGCTGTCATTACAAATTCATTATTAAGTATTTTGATAATTCTGTTGCTATATAGTTTATTGATAACTTTTCAACTCTTGAAGTTTGTCTATTTAAAAACAGTATTCTCCAGATCTGAAAGAGACACGTGTACCCCAATGTTCATCATAGCACTGTTTATAAATAGCCAGGACATGGAAGCAACCTAGATGTCCATCAGCAGACGAATGGATGAGGAAGCTGTGGTACATATACACCATGGAATATTACTCAGCCATTAAAAAGAATTCATTTGAATCAGTTCTAATGAGATGGATGAAACTGGAGCCCATTATACAGAGCGAAGTAAGCCAGAAAGATAAAGACCATTACAGTATACTAACACATATATATGGAATTTAGAAAGATGGTAACGATAACCCTATGTGCAAAACAGAAAAAGAGACTCCGATGTATAGAACAGACTTGTGGACTCTGGGAGAAGGCGAGGGTGGGATGTTTCAAGAGAACAGCATTGAAACACGTATATTATCTAGGGTGAAACAGATCACCAGCCCAGGTTGGGTGCATGAGACAAGTGCTCGGGCCTGGTGCACTGGGAAGACCCAGAGGGATCGGGTGGAGAGGGAGGTGGGAGGGGGGACCGGGATGGTGAATACATGTAAAAAAAAAAAAAAAAAGATACACTATGGTTGTGATAAAAAATAAATAAATTAATTAATTTAAAAAAAAATAGTAGCATAAAACAAAAAAAATAAAAATAAAAACAGTATTCTGAGAAAAGGTCCATAGTGGCCTTTGACACAAAAAGAACTTATGAATTCCTAGGCTAAGTGATGGGTGAAATCTTTGGGCTACAGTACGAAAAATGGAGCTCAGATCTATAACCTTATATTGGTGAATATGAGATGATAGACAATGAAAAATTATTGAAGAAACCACTCATAATTTCTTTAAACAGTGATTTTCTTCTACTTATCACCACTAAATTCTAACTAGATTAAATTGTATAATTTCTCATTCTAGTCTCCATATTTTTGTGGTATATTCGGAGTCATTTTCTTAAGATTATTATATGATGAATGTAATTACTCTTTTGCCAGGTCTAATCTGTGGTTTATCTTACTGTTTAGTTTTGTTTCTTTACTTTGTTTTGAAATATTTCAAATACAGTCCAAAATAGAATAGTATAATGGACTCATGTAGGTATCATTCTAAATTAACAGTTACTGTCTATGGTGAGTCTTGTTTCATTTATTCCATTCTTACTCCTGTATTATTTTGAAGCAAAAAATCCCAGAAAAATACTTTCATCTGAATATTTAAATCACAGTAAATCTAATTTTAAAGTAGCCGCAGTACAATTTTCTTATTTAAAAGTAAACAATAATTAAAATCAAGTAGCCATAGCTCATATTCACAATTCTCTTAACACTTGTTAATTTTAAAACAAATCATTGTTTGAATGAGGACCCCGACCCCTCAAGTTGTGACTGGTTAATAACTCCCTTGTTGTTGAGTCTGTAAGTGAGGTCCAACTCTTTTGCAACCCATGGACTGTAGTTCTCCAGGCTCCTCTGTCCATAGGATTTCCCAGGCGGGAACACTGGAGCGGGTTGCCATTTCCTTTTACAGGGGACCTTCCAGACCCAGGGATTGAACTCATGGGTTCTGTCATGTCGCTTGCATTGCAGATGGAATTTTTACCACTGAGCCACCAGGGAAGCATAGTAAATCCCTTAAATCTACTTTAATATTTTCAATCCCTAATCCCCCCATCTCTTGTTTTTCTTCAAATCTTTGTAATGTATTTATGGAAGAAACTATGTTATTTATTCTTATTTTCTACAGTCTGATTTGCTATTTGCTTCCTTCTAGTATTGTTTTTAAAGATTTTTTTGATGTGGACCACTTTCAAAGTCTTTATTGAATTTGTTACAACATTGCTTCTGTTTTATGTTTATGATTTTTTTGGCTGCAAGGCAGGTGGAGTCTTGTCTCCCTGACCAGGGATAGAATTGGCACACTCTGCATTGCAAAGCATATTATTAACTAGTGGACTGCCAGGGAAGTCCCAGATTCCCTGTATTGTTTCTAGTCATTTCTCTGTCTTCTCATATTTCCTGAAAATTGGCAGATGGAACTCGAGGCAAGAATTTTCTTTTGCAATTCTGTTACATAAGTAGTACTGAGTTAGTCCAATATAGGGCATATAATGACTTGCTCTTTTTTCTCTTGTGATGCTAGAAGAAAATTTGACAATCATTGTCTAGAGCCATCATTTCATTAGGGTTTGCAAAATGGAGACACTCTAATACTATCATTCTTCCTTCACTTATTAGCTGGAATAATTATATAAAGGAGAATTTCAACCTCATCTAATATGTGTATTGTTTCTTCATTGCTATAGCTGTACAAATTTTATAAAGAGGAGATTCCACCTTTTTTTCTTTGTGTTTGCAAGCAACTATTTGTTGTAATATCCTTTTGTGCTCAGTTAATAGCCAAGAAGCAATCAAAAAGTTATCTAAATTTTATATGCTCTCACTAATGACCCTCTGTTGCTTGATATTTTGCTATATGTATCTTATCAGAATGCATAAGTATAATACACGACACTTTTTTTTTGAAACAATCATTACACTCTAATTCTAAAGTTATGCTTGTATCAGTTCTTGTGGGGGTAACTCTAGAGTCATTTTGACTGAACAAATTCATCCAGTAGCTTCCTCAGGAAGTACTACTTATAAGAACAATATTCCTTAATCTTTTTAACAGTTATAATAGTTTATTTTTAGCTTTCAAATGTGAAATGCTGTTTAAATGAATATTAATGTTCACCAATTTCCCCTTATTGCCTATAAATTGAGCTATGTTAGGTAGATTACATCTCCTGATAGCTTAAAGAAATCATTATGATGAAACCTCCATGTAGATTATATATATTTATATTTATGCAATATTATAAATTCATATACAAGTTTTACATAAACATTTACCTATTGATTTTCAAATTATTTTGTAGACTGTGTTGCAAGATCCAAGAATCAAAGAAATTCTGTTTATTAGAAGGCACAATCTTTTCTCTTATCCTTTGCGCTTTCATAATCTTCTTTATAAATTGCTTTTAAATGTATCTCTTGCTTTGTGTTATAATTGGTTAAAAATGTTTCTGCTTTTAATTGGCATGTGATTTGTTTGAGGGACAGAGACTATATTTTTCTTCTTTATTCCACCATTGTCCAACACAGTGCCTAGAACATAGGTGAAACTAACTTGTATTTTTTAAATTAGAGTAGGATCTGAATTTCAAAATTCAGGTGTGGAACTTTTGTCAAGTATATGTAGGATAAATCTAGGCCCAGAATGATTTTATTTCCCAGGGTTGCTTTGAGAATCTTTCAGAACAGAAGTCTAGCAATTGCACCCTGCATGTTGAAAATCAAAGTGAAAGCAAAATCATTCACCAGGAACAAATGTGACAAGTCCCAGAATTCCAAGTGACCAAGTAAAACTGGACTAAAGGATGTGGAATTGAGTGCAGGAAGAAATGAGGTGTCTGTAAATGAAATTCTCCATAGGATTTCCTAAGGAGTTTGCTTTTCTCCTGTTAGCAATGGGAACTTTTCACGAAAATATTTTTGTATTAGATGATTCCTCCGGTAGTAAAAGATACAGTTGGTGATCTAAAGAAGTGAGGATGGTGGTGGAAGAAGAGATGAGGAAAGACTGGAGAAAGAAAAGGTGAAAAGATCATTTAGGCCAGAATTAAGAAAGTCTTCATGTGAAAGGCTCTTTTGGAGATATTTAACATATAAAACAAACAAGATTTAAAGAATTTAGTGAAAAACGAAGTGTTTCAAGTGAAGAAAACGATTCCTGTGAGCAAAAGGGATCCTAGTATATTCCCCAAATTCCGGACTATGGGAACTGTGTAGTCTCTTGGGCCACTGATAATATGAAGTGTCTAGCACAAGGAATAGATTTTGAAGAGGTAGAAAATGAATTAAGTTTGGAATGACTGCTTTAAAGTACTGACAATTGCTCAATGATTAAAGAGAGATTTAATTACTTTAATTTTATTATAGTAATTAACAGTTTGCAAAGTTCCCATTTGATTTTTATGGAGGTAAGTAATTATCCCCATTTTCCAAATAAGCTGAGGAACACAGAGTGTAAGATACTTATACAAATCACATGGCTAGAAATAAAAAGAAATTTGACATAGACACATTTGTTTTGACTCTAGGTCCTGAGAGATCTTCACTACCTTCTTGGTATAGGAGAGGGGACTTATTCATATCATTTGGAAAGTTTTGTTTAAAAAAAAGGGTAAAAATAAAAATGGAATTCTAGTTACCTCTATTAAAGGGAAAACTTAATTGACTGGAACATTTATCTCACAGTATACACTTTTGACCTTACCTCCCAAATGCTGTATGTCTTTAGTAATAATTACTTTATATCTGCATGCAACAGAATCTTCTTCAGAAAATATTTTGACAGAAATATTAGTGCATATTAGTGGCAAATTCAATTTTAAGTACTTTGATAATTCAAAAGTGGCAGTCATTTTGTTTCCCAAACTTTATTTCCAAAATGATGCCTTTCAACTTAGAAATGGGCTAAGACACTTTCAAACCTGTTTACTTATAAGACTTTCATTGTACTTTTTTCTAGGTAGGATTCTCTCTGTTTCTCCACCCAGTGTGGAGGAATTAGAAAATGAAAATGTTCCTTCTCCAAGAATTTACTTACCTCTGTTTACCTTTATGACTTACAGAGCCAGCTGAGAGTCTGTCCAGGGGAGAACCAAACCCAGAGAAGCTTCTTTTCTTCTTTGTTTCAATCACATCATTCTCCAGAGATACAAGTTCATCAAGAAGTAAGAGTTTTGCTGCCAGGTCAGTGGCCGACTTCTCTTCTCTCACTGTGGGTGATGACTGAACACCTAAGATTCCAGAATCAAAGGCCTATTGGGCAAGAAAGGTGAGTCCATTCATTAAGAGAAAGAGTACACATACAATCATCTATATTTGGATTTTACTATTTTTTAGCTGAAATGCCATGAAACTTGGTTTCTCACAGAGCTATGATCAGAGAGAAATACTTTTGAGGAGAAAAACACATAGGGTTGAAGTTTATTTGAAAGAAATGAAACCAACACACACACACATACACACAAAGAAAGAAAAGATGAACTCCAGACCTGCCTCTAAAATTTAGTATGTTAACTAATTATTCTTTCAGATTCTTTCCCAGTAACAACTGCATTCTTATTACTCTAATAGCGTTTTATCTATACTTCTTCCATCTCTACAATTATTACATTTTCCCTTGTATTATATTAACTACAACATGTGTATGTTGCATATTAGATTGTGAGTAACTTGAGGTCAAAGACTATGTCTAATCAGCATTTTGTTTGTGCTGTCTAATCCCTATTCTGGTATTTTGCTCATTATTATTGCACTAATTAGTAATTATTTCTGAAGAGTATTTATTGAATGAATTCTGAAAAAATATAAACCTCTTGCTATTTTCTTTTCACTACTCACTCATTCATTCAAGTCACTAAACATCCACTATGTAGGTCCTGTATTTGACCGAAGAGATACAAAAAATAAGAAAAATCCAATCTGTGCTTTGAGGGAGCATACCACCTCTACCAGTGTGATTTACTAACAAATAGCAATCAGAATCTATAGAGAGTCAGAGCTATCCGAAGGATTTTATTGCCCCATGTCAAATTTCTTATTTGTATATTTACACATATTGCCACTTGGTAGTCCATCCAAGTCATAAAAGTGTAAGTGTCTGGTTTATGAAGTCTATCTTCCTTTCTCAGGCCCAATCACAGCATTTTAAAAAAATGCTCCTATTAGCAATCTGGAGTCATTCTGTAGTCCAGGGGATGTAACTTCTTTTCTAAGAGTTTGAGAATATTCCCCTCTGGGAAGAAACATTAACTACAGCCAGACTCTTGGTGTGAGCATGACTCATTTTTTTTTCACATCCTGTCTTTGCTTTTGAATTGTTTATCTCATTCTCTTTCTTTTCCGTTCATTTTTTTCCACAATAAAATGAAAGAGTAGCACTTTCTAAAATCTTTTCATCATCGACTCAAACATTTTTCTTTTGGGATTCTTGCAGTCTGCCTCAAAGCTCTTGAGACTAGTGGCCATTGAACTTCTTTCCTAAACAAGTCAATCTGCTCCAAGTATGGCTAGTTCTTGGAAAACCCCTCTTGCCCTGCTCTTTCTGATTCCTATCAGGAGTGATTGATATCAGATCCTCTTGGCAGCAGAGGATGAGATGGTTAGATATAATCCCCAACTCAATGGACAAGAATTTGAGCAAACTCTGAGACATAGTGAAGGACAAGGGAGCCTTGTATGCTGTGGTTCATGGGGTCTCAAAGAATCGGACATGACTCAGCAACTGAACAACAGCAACGACCTCTTCACTGCACACTATGAATCCCCATGTAATTTATTTATCCCCTCTCTCTGTCTCTTTTCTATTCTGTCCTGACTACTTCCATGAAGTAAATCATCTCCAAACACTACTTTCATCATATAAAAAAATTAAAAATCTGTATAACCCTTTGTTACTTACAGTGTAAAGCCCAGAACTCCTTTTAAAAAATCTTAACTTCTATTATTTCCCTACATAAACTTGGAAGCATAGAAACTAAAGAGGGAATAATCATGAGAAAGAAATTATGAAGATCAGGAGAAAAACCAAAGGGCAAAGTTAAGAGATCTTTTATTATCTCTCAGAGGGTCCTCCAAAAAATGTGTTCATTCTTCCTACTGATATACGTACAAAGTCAAGTTTTCTTTCTTTTTAAAGATATTCTTAATCCTCAGGAAAAAAGGCACAAACCTTTTTATAAAACTTGCCCTTCAGTGAAATGCATTTCAGATTCTCACTTCATGCTATTTAAGAAAGTACAAAGAATGCATATTTCTCTTAAGATCAAATGAGCCAAGTTAACTTTTCTCTGTGTCAAGATGTCCTCACATATCTTTTTCTTTGTAGTTTAGTATTGGCAGCAAGAAAACATTTGTAGAGTGGTAAAATTTTGGCCAAGCGACTCAAATCCTGACGTGTAAACAACTTTAAATTTCACATAAAAGCATTTCATCTTTATATAATTCATTCAATTATATATATATATATGGCTGAAATTATAATGAATTTTCTCCTAAAGTTTTTGGTTTATGGAATACCAATCTTTGTTGTTACTTACAGTTTCTTTTTTTTTTTTTCTTTTAAATATTTAGATACCAGATTTTCTCTGAATCCATTGTGAGGACACAGCATAGAAAGAAATGTCTATTTACTTGATTTTTGTGTTATTGAAATTTCTCCATATTTGTCAGCAGCACCTGCTACTGACCTTAAGAAAAATGATTTAAGTTCACTAAAAAATGTGGCCCCTGGTTTCCATTACCTCTGTTGTGACGCCCGCTGGGAGCACTTTTCCTGAGCTCCAGAGCATCAGTGTCACAGCCAGGATAAAATGTGCACTTGCTAATCTCCAGTCCAGCATCTAAGGGCCACACACAACAGGGTTAACATTCATTAGTTTGACATATAAAGATAGGAAACAAAAATGCCTGTAAAGCTTGTTATAGGCTGGTAATAAACTAAATTATTCAGTTTCTCTACATTGGAGTGAACCTTTGCAATGCTTAAATTATACTTAATAGAGGCTGTCAGTCTCCCGGAATGAGTTCTATCAAGGTTTCATTTCCATGGAAACCTAGACTGGGGTTGTACCACTATAATCATAATTTAACTCAAAAAAACCGAAGTCTGAGAAATCTAGTTTGTGGAACCTTATTCTTTGAGTGTCTAATCCACAGGTTACAACATCATGTACCTAAAGAGAAATGTGTTAAATTGACTAGGTATGATAAACCAACCCCTGCTGGGGTTTGTGGTGAACAAGAGAGAATGTGCTGTGTCTAAAAGCAATTTTATATGAAATTTCAAAAACACCACTGTTCCAATAGTAGAATATCTTTATGTCCCATGATTTAAAATGATTTTTTGAGTAAGATTCAAAAGGTGAACTTCATAGAAAAAATTAACCAATTACACTATATAAAAATTGAAATTTTCCATGTGATAAGGTAAGTAAACAAATTGCAATAAATAACAAATTACAAATGAAATGTATTTTGAACAGATATAAAAAAGTAAGACTAGCATTTGAAACATTTAAGTAACTCTGATAAATAAAATTTAAAAAACAGACACAATTAAATAAAAATGGGCCAAAGTTTATAAGAAAACATGTATTTGAAAGTTCACAGCCTCGTTGTTTATAGCAGTGAAAAAATGAATCAACCCAAGTACCTTACTCAGAAGGAAATGGATTTGTCAGTTGAAGTACATTCATAATGTGGACTTAAGGCAAACAATTTAAATATATGTGTTATCTATGGTTCAAACAAATGACGTAAATGTTATGTGTAATTGTATGCATGGATTTAAAATAGAGCAGATTTGAGGGGAAATTAGAAATTCTAGAACAGTGTATATGCCATGCTACCATTTACCTAAATTGGAAATACATAAAGCAATTTACTGTATTTTGAAATCTATGAAAGTGAGTTGAAAATGAAAGTGAAGTCGCTCAGTTGTGTCTGACTCTTTGCGACCCCATGGATTGCAGGCTCCCAGCCTCCTCCATCCATGGGATTTTCCAGGCAAGAACACTGGAGTGGGTTGCCATTTCCCAAACTGGAAATACATAAAGCAATTTACTGTATTTTGAAATCTATACCTATAACTAAAATAGAGACCAATGGAAGTTGATTCATGACTGATTGCTTCTGCGGAAAGTGGGGAAGAATATAAGATTATGAAGCAAACATAAGGGACTCAGGTTTTACCTGTATATACACAGGAGAGCAAACAAGTCAAAAGGTTACATTTATTAATTCTGTGTAGTAAGCACAAACGTGTGTCATTGATACTTTTATGAATTTTTACATTAATAAAGCACTATAAATCTGATTAAAGCTTATTTACAGTATAGATTAGACCTTCTGACTGCCAGCCTGACTGCTGGTTAAAATGGGAGGCGTTGCTCCTCTGGGAGAAGATCTCTGGCTCTGGGTTACTAATAAAAGCGGCTTGACTTCTCCACTTAGCACATGACGCTGGGAAGTCCCCCTGCTCATCATTAATAAGAATTCTCAGCAAACTTTTGTTTCCTTAAAAACCATTTGAAAACCTGCAGGGAGCAAAAAGAATTATTCAATCTGAATAACTGTATTTGAGACTCATATTTGCTTTAGTAATAGTATGACCTTGGGTTTGTGTTACTTAACATGTTGAAGTTTATTTTCCATATTGGTGAAATGAAGAGTAATTCTGACTTCAAAAGAACTTTGAGAGGTTTGGATTAATTCATGTATAAACTCTTCACTGCATATATTGTTGTTCAGTTGCTCAGTTGTGTCAGACTTTTTGTGACTCCATGGACTGCAGCATGCCAGGTCTCCCTGTCTACCACCAACTCCCAGAGCTTGAACAGACTCATGTCCATTGAGTCAATGATGCCATACAATCATCTCATCCTCTGTTCCCTCCTTCTCCTCCTGCCCTCAATCTTTCCCAGCATCAGGGTCTTTTCCAATCAGTTGACTCTTCATATCAGGTGGTCAAAGTATTGGAGCTTCAGCTTCAGCATCAGTCCTTCCAATGAATATTCAGGACTGATTTCCTTTAGGATCGACTAGTTTGATGTCCTTGCAGTCCAAAGGACTCTCAAAGGGCTTTTCCAACAGCACAGTTCAAAAGTATCAATTCTGCAGCACTCAGCTTTCTTTCTGGTCCAACTCTCACATCCATACATGACTACTGGAAAAACCATAGCTTTGACTAGGTGGACATTTGTTGGCAAAGTAATGTCTCTGCTTTTTAATATGCTGTCTAGGTTGGTCATAGCTTTTCTTCCAAGGATCAAGCATCTTTTAATTTCATGGCTGCAGTCACCACTTGCAGTGATTTTGAAGCCCAAGGAAAGAAAGTCTGTCACTGTTTCCATTGTATCCACATTTGTTTGCCATGAATTGATAGGAAAGGATGCCATGATCTTCATATTTTGAATGTTGAGTTTTACGCCAATTTTTTCACTCTCCTCTTTCACTTTCATCAAGAGGTTCTTTAGTTCCTCTTCATTATCTGCCATAAGTGTGGTGTCATCAGCAGATCTGAGGTTATTGATATTTCTCCTGGAAATCTTGATTCCAGCTTGTGCTTCATCCACCCCAGTGTTTCTCATGATGTACTCTGCATAGAAGTTCAATAAGCAGGATGACAATATACAGCCTTGACATACTACTTTCTCAATATGGAACCAGACTGCTGTTCCATGTCCAGTTCCAACTGTTGCTTCTTGTCCTGCATACAGATTTCTCAGGAGGAAGGTAAGGTGTTTTGGTATTCCCATCTCTTGAAGAATTTTCCACAGTTTGTTGTGATCCACACAATCAAAGGCTTTGGCACAGTCAATGAAGCAGAAGTAGATGTTTTTCTGGAACTCTCTTGTTTTGTCTATGATCCAACAGATGTTGGGAATTTGATCTCTAGTTTTTCTGCCTTTTCTAAATCCAGCTTGAACATCAGAAATTTCATGGTTCACATACTGTTGAAGCCTGGCTTGGAGAATTTTGAGCACTATTTTGCTAGCATGTGAGATGAGTGCAATTGTGCGGTAGTCTGAATGTTCTTTGGCATTGCCTTTCTTTGGGTTTGGAATGAAAATTGACCTTTTCCAGCCCTGTGGCCACTGCTGAGTTTTCCAAATTTGCTGGCATATTGAGTGCAGTACTTTCACAGCATCATCTTTTAGGATTTGAAATAGCTTAACTGGAATCCCATCACCTCCACTAGCTTTGTTTGTAGTGATGCTTCCTAAGGCCCACTTGACTTTGCATTCCAGGATGTCTGGCTCTACGTGAGTGATCACATCATTAAGATATTTTTTGTGTAGTTCTTCTGTGTATTCTTGCCACCTCCTCTAATATCTTCTACTTTTGTTATGTCCATACTGTTTCTGTCCTTTATTGTGCCCATCTTTGCATGAGATATTCTCTTGGTATCTCTAATTTTCTTGAAGAAATCTCTAGTCTTTCCCATTTTATTGTTTTTCCTCTATTTTTTTGCATTGATTTCTGAGGAAGGCTTTCTTACCTCTCCTTGCTATTCTTTGGAACTCTGCATTCAGATGGGTATATCTTTCCTTTTCTCCTTTGCCCCATAGCTTCTCTTCTAAAACAGCATCTAGGCTCTAAAAAGAGCTGATCATGATTATTTCTCTAAATTAGGACAGAAGAAAACTAACAGGAAGAAATGTAAAACTTATCTGGTAAAAAATACCAACCAAAAACTGCATTACTTATTCTTTTAGAAAATCAGGTGTTGAATCTTATTTTTCCTTCTGATTTTGCTGATGTCTTTCACTTTCCTCAGCAAAAGGTAAGTTATATGAAAAATATAACTTTTTTTTTTACAATGACCTCATATTTCTGGCATATCTTTTAAAGAATAACTCTTCCATTCACTCAAAGATAAGCTTATAATTGTGATGTTTTCTTTCCACTCTTTTTTAAAACAGTTTTAAAGTGTGAAATTTTTCAATTTTATAAGCTTTCCTGTGTGGACTTTCTTCATCTATTTTTATGCACATTTTACTAACCAGGTTTCTCTTCATCTCTGCAATCTTATAAATGGCACAGGATGATGGATGTTTATAATATTGATGATTATGTCTGAGGCATATATTTTTGTTCTTGGGTGTAGATAGGAAAAAAGTCGTAATGTGTCATCTTACAGATAACCACATCCTGATTATTTGGATAGGGAGAAATAAAAATAAATGCTGAGTTTAAATACACACATTTAATGGTTTAAAGCCATGCTTATAGCCAGTTAACCAAAAGGCCAAGTTCCTAAATATGGCATTTGGTACACTAATGAAAACAAACACCCTGGCACCTGCCACACAAAAGACATTTGATTAACTACTTGAAACTTGATTGCTACAAAATTAGAAACAGAGGAAATTATAGGGAGGGAAGGAAAAGACCAGGTTCAGCTCCATTTCCCTATTTTGTTGATAGTGGATAAATATAGTCCATAACTAAAAATCTACTCAGCACCATGTACACTGCAAATTACAGAAAGAACACTCAAAGCATGTTCATTGTGTGACTATATGACATTGGAGGCACCTACAGCCATAATTTTCATTGAGAAATTTTTGAATTATTGTTCTCTAATGTGAAGAGTTTCCAAATAGACCGTGGGCATGAGATCTACCTTATAAGATTAGGTGTGTACTTCATTTTCAGTCAGTTGGTCTAGCATGTGCACATATTGTCACTAATGATTTTGCTGAATAAACAAACATCTTACATTGTGTAACATCTCAACCTTTGCTTCAAAGACTTCTCACATGCAAGAACTCATATACCCTGAAGGGATCATCCAATCTGTGGCTGGAGTGGTGGTGGGAGGAGGAAGACCTGATGT